CTTCCCCTCAGGCCACTGACGTTACTGTAAGCTTTGTTAACAGCTTCCCCTCAGGCCACTGACGTTACTGTAAGCTTTGTTAACAGCTTCCCCTCAGGCCACTGACGTTACTGTAAGCTTTGTTAACAGCTTCCCCTCAGGCCACTAGCGTTACTGTAAGCTTTGTTAACAGCTTCCCCTCAGGCCACTGACGTTACTGTAAGCTTTGTTAACAGCTTGCTGGACGTTTCTCTAAAGGCAGTCTTTTAGCTCTGGCCGCTTCTGTGATTTTTCTTTTGATTTTGATGTTCTGCAAATTTCCAATTTTGTGTCTGGCTGTGGATGTTTTTAAAACTGCACTCGGACTTCTTGGAGTTCCGTGTGTCCCATGAGTCCTGGGAGAGCCTCGCCTGCGCTCTCGCTGCTCTTTCAGCCTGAGACTCAGCTCAGGCGTGTGCTGGGATCTGCCCTGCTTCTGCCGCGCCTCCCGTCCAAGCACCAGTTCTCTCCTCAGCAGGGTTACATGCCACTTCACCGTCTGCTGGCTTTCTTACTTTAATGACCATGTTTTTCATTTCCAGAGATTCTCTTTGCCTCTTTTTCAAGCACAACCTGTTTGTTCTTAGAGTCTCAATATAGTCTTACAGCTGTTTCCTTCTTTTATATCTTTACCAATTTTAACGTGTTTGTTTTCTGTTCTCCTTCAGATTTTTAGAATGAAAAGTCTTACTTTCTCTCTTCAACTGAAATCTTTTTAAAATTTGAAATTACTCATTTTAAAAGTCAAGCAGAAGGGCCAGCCCAGTGGTGTAGTGGTTAAGTTCACTTAACCACTCTCTTTGCTCTCCTTCAGCGACCCGGGGTTCATGGGTTTGGATCCCAGGCATGGACCTAACACCACTCATCAAGCCATGCTGGGGCAGCATCCCACATAAAACAGAGGAAGACTGGCATAGATGTCAGCTCAGCGACAATCTTCCTCAAGCAAAAAGAAGAAGATTGGCACTGGATGTTAGCTCAGGGCCAATCTTCCTCAAAAAAAAAGAAAAGAAAAAAAGAAAAAACAAGAAACCCTATAATGTCAGAAATAATACGATCTGGTTACATTTGTTAAAAAAAGTAATTAGTCTCTACTTTTAAGTTAAAAAAGTCAAAGCAATCCCAGGACCTTAACGTTGGTTCAAATAAACTGAATAAGTGATTCACCTGGAAAACCTTTAATTAAGACTCACCCAAGAAGTGGTAGAAGCCCTTTACTAGGTGATTGTTAACCCTCTATTTCTAGTCTGTCTAAGTGAAGACACAGAGCAGAAGGTGTGTGGCTCCACCGCAGGGCCCGTGGACCTCTTTGACCCCGATTCAGTCTTCATTCACTCATGTTCCCACACGTTTATTGCAAAATAGGGAATCATTTTCCTGAATTTTCATACCACCCCCCCAAAAAAAGCGTAAGGCTTATCTCAGATGGAAAGGGTGCAATCACTCCTGTAGGGGATGGGTTTAGACCCTAGTGTTGCCCTTTCACTGTGCCACCGTCATCCGACGAGGACAAGGTGACAAACTGCCACGTGGCCCTGCTCCCCACACAACAGCTGTTCTTCTGCTCACGGCCCTGCAGAGCTCCAAGGTTTCTCATTCAAAGTCCCTCCATGTCTCCCTCCCCTTTGGGGCTTGGCCTCCAGTGCTTCTCCCCGACACCCTCCACTGGCATCTCCTGCACACTTCCTGAGTGGCTCTGCCCGACCCCCTCGGCCCAGAGGACCTTCTGCGCCTTTCGCAGCGCATCCTTCCTACCAGTGGCTCTGCATCCACTTCTCTACCAGCTTCTCCACCAGCGGCTCCGACCCTCTGCTTACAGTCCCAGCCCCACCCCGACCCCCACCCGCCTCTGTTTTCTGTGACCCTCCCCTCCAGGCAGGCTCTAGGCTACTTCTTCATGTGTTTATTGCATACTGTCTGCTTCCACGCCCTGCTTGAACATCAGCTCCACAAGGCAGAGACGGTGGTCTGTCTCTTCACCAACACTCAATAAATATTTCCTAAATAAACGAATGCTAGAGAAGGAAACCATGGCATATCACAGACAGCAAAGGCTTGGGAATTTGTAAATTGGCCCTACTGGGCAGGTCAAATAATTTGCTAAATACAGCTGTTAATTTCCTAAAGGAAAAGCTCTCTTACCCTGAAATCTACCTTTCAAAAGGCTTCTTGGTGAGAAAGTGTTCAGTTTAGTTTTAAATTCTAGCACTGAGACCCAATTGGCCAGGACTCTGGCTGTCCCAACATCTGGAGGCTTTCTTGGAAAGGGATGCAATCCTGAGCAAGGGCAGTCTGACCATGTCCGCAAGACTGGTGTTTCCTCACTCAGGAAGCTGCCCGTTAAAGCTTGTCCACCAAATACAGCTGATAAGGTATGTCCAACTGCAGTAGAAAGGGTAGACCAACTCCGGTAACATTCTTTCTCCCACTTTACATGAAAATGACTTCCAAACTAGGAATATGGTCCAATATCTCATTCAGGTCTTGATTTTAGAGAGGGTTTTTTGTTTTTGTTTTTCTTGCTGAGAAAGATTTGCCCTGAGCTAAAATCTGTTGCTACTCTTCTTCTTTTTGTTTGAGGAAGACTACCCTGAGCTAACATCTATGCCAATCTTCCTCTCTGTGCGTAGCCACCACAGCACGGCTGACAAATGGTCTAGGTCCATGACCGGGCCACCGAAGCAGAATGCACGGAACTTAACCACTAGGCCACAGGGCTGGCCCTGATTTTAAGTTTTGATTCTAAATTTGATGTGAATGCTGGGACTCTGTGTGTGTGTGACATGAGTCATTTCTCATTATCACAGCCAATTTAAAAGAAAATGACCTCTTTGCCCCAAGAGGACTACGTTCTATAAGACATAACTCATATACTTGAAAAGCATCAACACTTAGCTATTAAAATCCTGAATCTATAATCATCATATTGCAGTTTTGTTCCTCTAAGTAAGATATTTTGGAAAACAAATACTAGAAATGTTCTATACTACCGACTAATGAAGGAAATCAAAAAGTTTCAAAATTGTATACTCTTCAACTATAAGGACAACATCCCTCTAAAATGTAATTTAGGTGCAAATCTCAGTTTCTCTCAATCTCACTGCCTTTCATTTAGTCCTAGGGTGACCATAACCTGTCCCACAACCACCTAAGTTTGGGTTTTCTTCTCTAGACAAATCCATTGCCCTTCTTACTTCTGCCCCCCAAGGAAGGACTAGGCGGTGTGCCCATCATGGAGTGCTTTTCAGAAGGTGAACAGTTGTTTCCAGGCCTAATTTCCAAAGCACTAGGGTTAAGTTTAAAATGATACTGTAAATAATAAAATTAAACAAAGAATCCAAATGTAACTACTAAAGATTTGTGTACATGAGTATTTTGACTTACCATTCTCTTCTGTGAATGTGGAAGAAATACATAGGAAATTCTGAGTAAAATACACCTAAAACGACCTCTCTTTTATACCTGCACAGAAGTCTTCCCAATCAGTTTCTTAATATCATACGTTATCACCGAAATACTACATCATAGAGACTGGAAGGCTCCCCTCAAAGTAGCAAAGGAGGAAAGTCCAAAATCTGGTGGCAACATATGGAAACACTGGAGAGAGAATTTAAAAGCAGAAAATAACATAAAAAGCCTTTCAATACTGCTAAGAAAAAGCCAGCAAGATGGAAAAACTTAAGAGAGGTCAAGAGGATGGTCAGGGTCTAGGAGCTATACAATTTACATAATTTATAAGAGAGGACTGGAAACGTCCTCGGGCTCCCAGGCCATCTGTCAATAACTCCTCCCTCCCACAGGGGAAGAAAAGTCTCCCACAAGAACAAGTAAGAGTCTCGGTGCCTTCTGGAGCTTTTCTAAATATATCTGTTACAAATGCTTCTTAAAAAGAAATGGGGACAAGAACGTGTGGCGTACCTGATATTCCGTCTTCAAACTGAATACCAAGTCTACAAAGAAAAACCCCACAGCTCAAACTACCAGAGCCAGCTGGTTTTCACCGCTCCTGTGGCAGGTTACCACATAATTCATGAAAGTGTCACAGACCACAGAGCTTTCCCTGTGTTATGTAAGAATCCCTCTTAGACGAGGTCACCTGGGCCAATCAGGGCATCGCAGAACGCACCAGGAACAGCCTGGACGAATTTTATACCGTGCGAACTAAACGCACAGATCTCCTATGGTGCCAGCAGTCCTCGGGAATGACCCTCTGGTCAGAGGGGAGCGCCTCGGGCCGAGACGCCCACCCTGCGGCCCTGGGGTCTCTGGCCCGGCCTCACCTCCCGACCCCAGATGAACGCCCCCAGGGCACTCGCACCGCGCTCGGCACAGGTAAGGGCTCAGCCCATCCTCAACACAGACAGGATCTGCCACAATCTCCCCGCCAGCGGCGACGCCCCCGAGGCGCCACAGGGCCGCCAAAGCCTCCCGGGCCAGGCGCGACCCGCTTTCTGCCCAGTCGCCCGGCCCGGCCCTCGGACCCCACTTCCCAGGTCCCCCCGGCAAGAACCCCCGCACCCGGCCGCACTCACTGTTGTACTGCACCCCTTTCGCGAAGCGCCTCTGCAGCGCCTGGTTCATGGACTGCAGCCCGGCGGGGATGTTCTTGTCGCGGCCGGGAGCCTGCTCCGATCCCACCAGCTTCTTGAGCGCGGAAAACATCTTTCCGCTTCCACGTCCGAGCCCGGTGCGGCCCGCGAGCTCAGCGGCGGCGGCGGCGGCGGCGGCGCGGCGCAGATCGCACCATGACCCGGGTCTCGGCGGCCGGGCGCACGCCTCGAGGGCGGCTGGGGGGCTTAGTTGCGGAGGCTCCGCTCCGGCCCCCGCGGACCCCAGCTTGGCCGCCCTCCGCCCGTCAGCGCTGCCATCTTGGCGCTGCCTGGGCGGGGCGTGAGGCTACGGGGTGCCACGAGGGCCACGGGAGTGCGCGCATGCGTGGGGGCTGCGCGGCTAAGGGGCGCCGCGAGGGCCACGGGGATGCGCGCATGCGCAGGACGATGGGCTCGGTCGTCCTGCTTTCGGAGCCGCCCCCAGACTTTCAGATCAGCCCAGACCTGTCCGCCTCTCCGCCCGCTTCCCCCCTCCCCGCCCTCACGCCTCAACTCCGGGGCCCACATCCACGGCCAACATCCCACCTTCTCGCAGACTTCCTGACGTGACCTCCCACGTCTGCGTCCCCCAGACCCATTTTCTCTGAGACGCCTGTCTCCCCGGGGCCCCCAGGAGTCCTGGAAAAATGCTTTATTGTGTAAAACAGCGGACGCAGGCGGGGGGACGGGGAAGGGGCTCCTCCTCCTCCTCCGGGTCACTTCTTCTTCTTCTTGGCCGCCTTGAGCTTCCCCTCGATCAGCCCCTGGGCCTGCCTCTTGATCTCGGCCCGCGAGGGGACGTAGCTGTGGTCCACGTCGGCGAACTGGAAGGTTTCTAGAGAGGAAGGCGAGGAGGACGGGGGCCGCGCTCGAAGCCCCTCTCTAACGGAGGTTTCTGATTCTAGATTTGTCTATTGGCGCTCATTCATTCACAGGCAAGGTACTCACTTAATTTTCTTACTTTTCCTGTTCCTGATTTTCTGGCATTTGGGGTCTTACAGACCGGGGACACACCGCGCTCCCAGGGCTAGCCAGTGCTTAAGAGTCAGCAGAGGGCTTGCCCCTAGGCGTGTCTTTCATGCAGACCAACCAATCCAGAAACCACAGCCCCGACCACCTCCTCTATCAAACTCACGCCAAGCCACTATTCCCCTGCCTAAATCGACCCGGGGCCAGGTACCAGGCAACTGGGGACAGCCCCTATGCTCCAAGCCCGCAGGAATTATTCACACGACCAATCTTAAACTGTGTACCTGCCCTGCCTTGCACTTCCCGCAGAAACCCCAATGAAGGCTCTGGCCTAGGCCTTCCCCTCGCCCCCTCTGCCTCTTGCCCGGCACTGGGCTCCCCTGTGTAGAAAATATTAAAAATTCTCCTTTCAATGGCATTAGCCTCTCCATGTCCTCACTAAGACACCTCCATAAATTAAAACCTGTGGGTACAACTGACACACGCTCTACGTCCCTGTAGCCCCCACCTTCCCTCCAGGCTGCCCTGGTCAGATGAAGCAAGCACCATCTCCAACCTCTGCCTCCACACAGCCCAGACCATCCCTCCGCCTGGCCCCCAGCCTGTACCTATCATATCCTCCTCCAGGCCCTCGAAGGTGATCCTGGTGTTCTGCCTCTCCTTCAGAGTCGAGGACTCCAGGGCGTCCCTCACCTTTGTGTTGATCTGCAGGGCACAGGGGACTGTCAGCTCCGAGGGAACATGGAATGCATAGGCACTGCCCTCCCGCGCCCTGCCAGCCCAGGGCTACCTCCTCAGTCCTAGACAACAGCTGCACTCTGTCCGCCAGGTACAGGAGCTTTCCCTCGCAGTACGCCAGCTTGCTGTTCACATCGAGGGTGCTGAAGGGCACCACTTCTTTCTGTAGGCCAGGAGGAGGGTCTCGTCTCCCCTCTGGCCCCTCCCAGGGACCCTCTGTGCAGGCGGCTCCTACCCACTCTGGCTGGTACCTGGGCCCTGGGCAGGGTAATGCCAATCAGCCGGATGTAGAGGTTGTCGATGCCCATCTGGATGGTCAGCAGTAACCTCTGGCTCTTGGTCATGCTGGCATGAGCCAGCTGCAGCCTGTCTTCCTCCTCCTTCAGCATGTCCCTCATTTTCTTCTCAATGGACTTAAAGCTGTTGGGGACAATGGGGTGGGAGGTGGCACAACCCCAAGGGCAAGGCAGCCGGGGTCTTGAGCTGGGCGCCGTGCTAGATTCAGGGGCCCAGGAGCTCAGATGTAGGCATGTGCGGTCCCCCAGCGGGGTCTCCACAGCTCATCTGCAGAGCACTCGTGGGCTTCCTGGCTATGGGGACACTCAGCTGCGAGCCTGGCGTCAGAAAAGGCAGGGGCCTCCCTGGGGTACCTGATGGAGCTGGGTGTCTGGTGGAACTTGAGTATGGCCTCCTCTAGTTCCAGCTTCTTCATCAAGGCCTCCAACTGTGCCCGCCTCTCCTCACAGTCCTCCATCTGCAGCTCCAGGTTATCCTCCGTGTTCTTCTGAGCCAGGAACCTGCCAGCGATGTCCTGGCCAGGCCAGTGGGGACAGAAGCAGGTGTGGGCCAGAAGGCCGGGGGCCCCATAGAACTGGTTTCTTCTGGGTCCTGCCCAGTGATTAGTAATGATGTTGACCATGGCTGGGCACTGAGAGCTTGCAAGGAACCAGCCATTGGGTGAAGGACTTTATGTGTGTCATTGCAGGTAACTCTCACAACAAGCAGACAGGGAAGATAACCCCAAGGTAGAGACAAGGAGACCACCACTGAGAGACTGCATGGCTTTGAGTCACTTCTCCAAGGATGGTCAAGCTTATGTCAGGGCCATGGACAGGAGCTGAAGGCTTACTCATAATAAACCCAGGTCGGATTAGCATAAAGGGGGCAGGTGGAGAGGAAGCTGCTCATTATGACGCTGTCAGCTTGGAAGGGCAGGCTGTGCCCTCGGCATTTGGATCCTCACATTCCAGTAGGAGGGTAGCTTGGATATGCCAGCCACATCCCAGGAGTGCCTCTACTCGGAGCCATGGGGGCTGCAGCTTTGTGTGTCCATTCATTCAAAAGGTGCCTGCAGACCCTGGTCCAGCTCTGCCTGGCCTTGGGCTGGGGTAGGGCCCCCAGCTGCCCTCCCACCCATGCCCCAAGAGTAACAGGGAGCAGTACCCAGAGGTGGGAGCACCGCACAGCGGTCTTGACTTTCTCCACCAAAGCAGTCACGTCCGTCTGGTATTCGATATCACCCTTGGAGGTGTCTCTTCTTCTCACTGGGCACAGCAGAAGGGAAGGGGCCAGCATGCAGGAATGGCGTGGGAGCTCTGCCTGAGGCCATTGGATGCCTCTGTACATGCCCAGTCATCAGGGGAGGCCACCCAAGAGGGGGGTACCCAGGTACCCATCAGGTAGCCTGCTCTCTCCTTGGCCGGCCCTTCAGGGATGCCCCAGGGCGGCTCCATCCAGAGGAGGACTGGAAGCAGCCTGGCACAGTGGGGCTTAGTGGCATTTCTCAGAGGTGGCTGGGACTCCTCATCTTTTCTGAGGAGTCACGGTCACCGGGCCCCTGGAGTGCGAGGAGACAGCATGGCCGAGTGCATTTTACAGCTGAGAAGCCAGGGTCCAGCTGCACTTGGCTGTGAGCCCAAAGCTGGTAGCAGCACCTTGAAGCGCATGCTGTGGCTGCAGCGCTCAGCCTCTGCAGGTGTAGCCGGGCAGCGATGGGGGCTCATCTGTCTCCCTCACCCCAGCCACTGCAGGCTACACCTGGCCTCATGGTGACCTGACTGGATGGCAGAGCCAGTGCTGGGCTCTGGGGACCCTGGCTGGGGATGGGGAGGGAACTGAGCACTTACCTTTCAGGGTTTCTGTGCTCATTATATTGGATGGGAAGTCCAGGTCCCGCCGGCCCTGATGGGATGGGGAGGAGGAGGTGAGCAGTGGCCTCTGCCAGGCAGTAGGCCACCCCAACTGTCCTCGCGCTGCAGTGGGGGTCGTGGCGGGGCTGTGCCCCGTGGCCGGCCTGGCGGGGACTCACCCGGCGGTACCTCTCACTGGTCTCCTTGGTGTGGATCTTGTCAATCAGCTTCTTCTGCTGGTTGAGATGGTTCTCCCGTGCCCGCCGCTCCTCAATGAAGGTCGCCTCCCCTTGCCTCATGTTCATCTGGGGACACAGGGAGGCGGGCAGGGGTCTGTCTCACCAAGGCCTCTCGTGGTGCTAAATCCAGCAGTCAGTCTCAGTCCCCATCTTCCTAGATTTGGGAATACCATTCGAGCCTGCTGGCCACACCCTTCTTCCTAAAACGCCGGTGCCTGCCAGCCTTTACCGTCCTCCTTCCTTTTGGCCGTCCTCTCAGGATGCACCCCCCATCTGGCCCTTAGTGGCACGCAGGCCTCCCATGGCGTTACACTCCTCCCCTGCTGCAGCCACAGCTCGCGGACCCAACTCCCATGTACCTAACGGATTTCTCTCTTCAGCCCAGGCTTTCTGCTGCCTCCGGGCCAGCTCTACCTAGAACTCACTAAAGTAGATTCCATGTGTCTAAAAACGAACTCATCATCGTTCGCCAGACCTGGTCTCCTCCAGCGCGTCCAGCTTTGGTGGCTAAATCCATTGTCATCTACGCCTGTGTACACTTCCTGGACGCTGCTTTCTCCCTCACTGTCCACAACTAACTTAGCGCCAGATCTCATCAGGGTGATCTCTTAAACGCTTCTTGGCTCCATCTGCATTTGGTCACCCAAATCTACCCCTGGTCTGGCCCAAGTGACCAGCATCTTGGCCCTGGTCCCCTCCAGTCTCTGCAGCCAGGGCGTGCCCGTTTTGAAACACAAATCTGATCCCATCTCCCTCTATCTCTTCCCAGGGCTGCAGGTTGGCTTGGGGGCTGACACCTAAGCCCCAGTCGCCCCACTGCCTTGGCCGGCTCACAGGCTCCATTCCTCAGCAGCTCCTTGGCTCCAGCTGCTCATGCCTTTTTCTGGCTCTGTTCAGCCCCACGACCTTTGTTGTCTTTCCTCCTCCAGGGCTCAGACCGCCATACCTCAAAAGAGAGTCCCTCACCCCCCAAGTGCCACCTCCCCGAGCAGGTTCGTGCCCCAGGGTGGCCCCATGGCACCCACACCTCTCTCTGCAGCGCTGGCCAGAGGCCCTGTGGTCTTTCTTCACAGACTGCTGGATGAGCTTCAGGAGGACAGGCATGCCTGCCTTGCAGGGGCCTTGGCACAGACAGGGTGAATGGTGTCCCCTGCCCAGGCCAGACCAGTTCTCTCCCTCCTCCATCAATCTCAGGGCTTCTGGGCCCAGGGGGACCTGCTCTGTCCAGGGTCACAGTGTGTGAACAGAGCAGGCTGGCAGTACGGGCAGGTAGTGTGGGCACTGGGGTGTCCTGATGGACCCCAGGCCAGAGAGGTCTGAGAGAGAGCCCTGCAGGACCCCCCAGCCCTGGGACCTGAGCTCACCTTGACCTCATCTGTAATCATCATGGCATCTTGGGACATGACTGTCATATCTGACAGTTCCGAGCAGTAGTCACACACAAGATTCTGCAGCTTGTCCAGCTCTGTGGGGTATCCTGCCAGCTCCTGCACGGAAAGGGGCAGGCGGGCACTGAGCCTGAGGGCCAGCCACATGCTGCCTCGTTCCGTGCTCGCTTCCCTGGCCCCGCCCTAGTTCTCTGCTGGCCCCTAGAGTGGACCATGCCTGCCCCCCACCCCTTACCCCAGACCCTGTGAGCCCCGAGGACAGTGATGGGTCTGGCCTGTGGCCCCAGCCCCCAGCCAGGCACAGAGCACATGAAAGGAAGTGTTTTGGGAGGAGCAGACAGCATCCTCTTGGTGGGCTTTTTTGCTACCCAGGGTGACGGCCCAGAGGCACTTCCGAGGAGGCTGTGATGGCTGTCCCACCATGTGAGAGGTGACTGTGAAACCTGGGAGACCCACTGTTTGGGAGCGGCTGCTGTTTGAAGTGAAGCAGAAGGTCAGAGACTGAGGGCTCAAGGCCAAAGCCATCCTGACCAGCCAGCTGTGGGACCTTGGGAAAGCCATTTAACCTCTCTGAGGGTCCCCATCCACAGAAATGTGATAATGGCTCCTTCAGAAGGTTGCTGTCAGGATCGGTTGAGAAGGTATAATGTGTTTACACAGGGCCAGGTTCACAAATGTCCAAGATATCTTGGCTCTTAGTATTTTATTGTTAATTACTACAATGTAGAATCTTCGCTGTTTTTTTAAAAATGTGGATGACCAGAGGAGTTATTAAAAAAAAAAAAAGCGTATGTTCTGAAAAGATAATAAGGTGCCCCTGAGGGGACATAATGTGCCCAGGTGAAGGAGGGACAGGACCCTGAGTGCAGTCAGCGTGGGAAGGGGTGTGAGGAGGGCCCAGGAAGGGCAGGGGGGCAGAGCCTCCAGCTGAGTCTCCAGGACCAGGGGGCCGAGGTGGAGGGACATGTGGGAGGAGGAGGCTGTGCACCACCCAGCTCTGGGGGCCACGGGCAAGATCTGGGGGGCTGTGACCCAGCCGTGAGAGCTGCAGTGCCCACTCAGCCCCCCACACCCTCCTCCCAACCACACTTCCTGTCTCCCTCCCCCAGCCTCAGGATGAGGGAGTTTGAGGGGCTTCCCTCTCTGTCCCTGGCACCCACCCTTGGGCCCTCCTCTCTTCCTCCTCCTCCTCCTCCCATCTACCGTCTACCTGGCCTGTGGCAGGCGCCTGTGCTCTGCTGTGTGGGGGCCAAGGGCGGCCTACGTGAAGAGGTCTTGCCTCACAGTGGGGTTCATGGCCCCTGGAGGCCTCCTCCTGGCCTGCGCCGCAGGGAGCAGGGCACTGGCTCAGAGAGGCAGGCAGCAGGCCCCAGTCACTGGCCTGCTCAGAGGTGGCTTGCCCTGCACGATGTTAGGCGACTTTGGGAGGGTGCAGGGCGCAGCGCCTGCCCTCGGAGGCCAGGCACTGAGAGATGACAGGGCAGAATAAAAGCACACTAAACTACCGTATACATGCAAGAAGACCCAACAATTCTCACACCCCGTGAGAGGCCTTTCAGAGTGACAGACGCCACGTTCTTGAAAGAACTTTTCCAGGTACGCGGTGCCCCTGCTCAGCTGGCGCCCAAAGCAGCTCAGTCCTCCTGGGTGATCCAGCCCGGAGGAAAGCTGCAGGCCTGGGGCGCCCTGCCCTGGAGGCTCCCGCGCCACGAGAGATCCCAGCCCTGGCGCACTGGCCGGGGCCGCAGACCCCGCCCCTCCGGCCAGCTGGGCTCCCTGGGGCCCGGGTGAGGGGACTCACTTTCTTCAGATAATCCAGCAGGTTCACGTACAGCTGGTGGATGTTCTGGCTTGTGGTGATCTTGATCATCGTCTTTTCGATGTTGTTCTCCAGCTGGCGGATGACCTGGGGGCGGCCCGAGAGCGCATTGAGAGCGCAGAGGCCGGCCGGCAGGGGCTGGGCTTTCGGTCCTGTTCACCTAGCCCCGCCCCGCCCCTCCCGCGGAGCCCCGCCCGCCGCGAGGCCCCTCCGCTCCCACGGAGCCCCGCCGCCCCACCTGCAGCAAGCGCAGCTCCTCCTTGGTGGCGTCGGGCTGGTTCTGCAGGCCAGCCAACTCCAGCTGCATGCTCTCGAGCTTCTGCCCGCGCCGCCGCACCAGGTGGATCAGCACGTTGTGCACGTTCACGCGGTCGAAGACGTACTTACGCAGCTTCTCCCGGGCCACCTGGGTCGGCAACCCCGCAGGGACTCCAGCGTTGGGAACTCGCTCTGCCCCCCACCGGCTCCGCGGCGCCCTTTAGTGGGGGGTGCCCTGGCTGCGGCACTGAGGGATCCCGTCTTACCTCCATGGTGCTGCGGCAGTGCGCCAGCCTCATGGGCTCGTCCTTCCCGCAGGCCTTGGAGATGGTCCACTGGTCGTACTGTGGAGCAGCGGCAGCGGCTGAGCGAGGGGCTGGGCCTCTCTGCGTTCCCCTAGCCACCGGCCCCCCAGGCATTGTTCCTAGGCTTCTTCTGCCCTGTGCTAGCCCAGCAGCAAGACCCCAGCTCCTCGGGCCACAGGAGGCAGAGCGCTACAGGACCCCATCCGGGCCATTCCAGCACCCATGCGATGGGGGTGTGGAGAGGAGAGCCCAGGTCTCCCCTATGTGAAAATTAATAAAGAGAAGCCTCATTTAAAATGGGGTGGGGAAATCCTGTAGGAGGAGTTATCATGCACACAGCATCATCATAGCTCACTTCACAGTTTAGGACAGGCGGTGGTGCAACTATTTTGCTGCTCCAGCAGTTGGAAGGAAGATTTTCTCCTTGCCCAGCAACAGCCCAGCCAATGAGAAGTCACTGCCACCCTGCACTCTTACTTGCACTCTCACTCTCCTCCACTGAACTTTCATTTAGAACAGCCCCTCCCAACTCCCCCCCCCCCCCCCGCCCGCCTTGTCTAGGAAAGGAAGCTCCCCTGCTTTGTTCTCTGGACTCACCTGTGGTTTATCATAGTCTGCATGCCCTGAGTTGTGATTCTTTTGCTATTCCCAAATAAACTCATTTTGCTGGGAACACAACTGGCTATTTTATTTTAAAGCCGACACCTTATGGCCAGAGAGCTGGAGGGACCCCTGCTGCAGGGGGTAACCTGGGAAAGGGACCCCAGTCACGCCCCAGGCCCTGCCCTTTGGGGTGGGTGGTGGGGCACCTGACCCCCAGGCTCACTGGTGTGACCAGAGCCCAGGGCAGAGGTCCCAGGGAGCCCCTCCTGAAGATGCCCCCTGGCTCCAGAAAGGTTGGTGTCAGAGCGGGACAAGGTGAGGAGGAGCCTGCCATCCACCTGTGTGTGGGGGCTGCTTCAGCACATGCCCACCCCCACCCCCCAGCCAGCAGGCAGCAGGGAGGGGCGGGCTGTTCACCTTCTTGGCCAGAGCCCAGTCCTGGGCCCCACGCCGAATGTTACCGCGCAGGAGGGCCAGCGTCGCCTTGTTCTTGATTGTCTTCTCCTTTACCGCCTGGATCTGCAGTGCCCGACATTGCTCTGTGGGTGGGCGAGGGACAGGCCAGCCAGGATGTGGGCCAAGGGCCTGGCCAGAATTTCTGGTCTGGGGAGGCTCCACATCACGGAGGCCCGGGTGGAGGGGCACAAGAACATTGCCTCCATCACCATGCTCCTTCCCCAACCCTGCTCAGGGCCATGGGCTCCCCTGCCCAGCAGTGCTCATCTGGACGGCTCTCAGTGAGCAGCCGTGCTGGCAGTGGGGAGGGTGAGGTGGAGGCCAGGGATGGACATGCCCTGTGATCCCTTCCAGACCCACCGGCCACGGAAGCAGGTGGGTCTCTTCCTGTCTCCCCTGTCCTGCTATGCTTTCAGATCTCCTTGAAGCACCTCAGTTTCTCCTCTCCCCTGCCCCCTGCATGGCTGGCCCCTTTGATCCCTTTCCAGGCTCTGTCTGGGGGGTGGGCGGTAGGCTGGCCACTAGCCTGTTGGCCCTGGACTGTCCCTGTGTTAAAACTGAAAGTCCTGCCCCCAGGAGCCCCTGAGCCCCCGTGGGGGGGGGGGCAGCTGGCCACCCCAGCGGCGGGCTGACCCTGGAGCCGAGTGATGGTCTTCATCTCCTGCATCTGCTCGTCCATATCTGCCTCACTGTGCATCTTCATGGCGGCCTGCAGGGTCCTCCCGGGGCCCTCTGCACCTGCCGCCCACCCTGTGCTGGGTCTGCTCAGCAGAACTGCAGCTCAGATTGTCCCCTGAATCTCGGCCCATTGTGAGGCGGGCCAAGGTTCTCAATGCCCAGGGAACCCTGGAATTCCTAGCCCCCCAACCCCTGCCCCCAGCCGCCCTCGGCGTCATCCCTGCACACTTGTCTGTGGCTGCTCCCTGTTCAGGAGTGCCGCCTGGGTCAAGGCACCTATATCCATAGTGAGGTGATTGGTAGCAGCTTGGGACTGCACCCGACTCTGGCCCCCTGCACTCTCCCCTTCCCTCCCCGCCTAGGCCGTCCTCCACTGAGCCTCCTAAAGCTTCCGACCCCTCCCTGCCTTGTGAGATCTCCACTGCCCCACACCACCGCCAGTTCAAACTCCACACCCCAGGTGACCTGGCTCGTGAGACCCTCAGCCTCAGCCCTCCCTCCCCCATCTCTCCCTGACCTTCGCCTGCTGCCCGGAGCCCGCCTTGGTCACCTCCACGTCCTTGGAGAATTCCTGGGTCTAGCTTTAGATGTCCGCTACTCCAGGAGGGGTCAGTCCCCCGTCTCTGCACCCCTAGCCCAAGCTCCCCTTAGAGCCGTGTGCTCCAAGTGCGGGACAGCCTGGGGCTCCAGGGGGTGCACACCAGATGGGCTTTTCCCACCTGAGGTGTGTGAGTTTGCTGGGCTGCCTGACAAAGCACCACAGACAGGTGGCTTCCACAACAGGAATTTATTGTCTGCCATCCTGGAGGCTGCAAGTCCAAGATCAACGTGTCGTAGGGCTGGTGCCTCCTGAGGCCCCCCTCCTGGGCTTGTAGATGCTGTCTTCTCCCTGTGTCCTCACGTGGTCGTCCTTCTGCCCACCTGTGTCCTAATCTCCTCCTCTTCTGAGCACACTAGTCAGACTGGCTCAGGGCCCACCCTCACGTTAGCTTAATCAGCTCTTTACAGGCCCCCTCTCCAAAGGCAGTCGTATTCTGGAGTCCTGGGGGTTAGGGCTACAACATGGGAATTTGGGGCACACAGTTCAGCCGTGACAATGGCCTTCAGCCATGTGCTGTCACAGCACCCATCTTCCTCTGACCTCTCACAGATCCTCTCCCTTCCCCAGTTTTTATAAAGTGAGTCCAATCCCACCTAAAACTCCAAGTTCACCGTTGGCCCTCCCTCTGAGCCCAGGCCCTGCCCACGGGGAGGTGGAAGGGACTGCTGCGGCCATGGTCTGCTCCTGTCCTCCCACCCGTCTTCCCAAGGCCGGAGGCAGAGCCTGCTTACTGCCACGTGGACAGAGCTCCTGTAAGCTAGCTCTGGCCTCCTCTGCCTCTCCCTTGCTCCTCTCCTGGAGAGAAGTGACTCAATCTGACAAGTGTGTTGAAATGAAAGGCAGGTGGCATGGCCACTTCCTGTCCCTTGTCTCTTGGGAGCCAGGTGCTGACTGGCACACACCTGTTCTGGCTGGCATGCTCCTCCAGGCCACACTGTACGAAAACAGAGCCCCATGTAGAGTGGCCTCGATGGTCTTACAGGGCCCACAGGAGTGTCTAATTCTGAGTCAGTTGTTAGCAACTGCCCAGCACGTCCTCCAGTGTCAGCTGTACGGTACCAAGGTGAAATGTGACTCTTTCTCTTGCTGCTTTGACTAGTTTCCCAATTGCTTTAGAATTCAGGTGGGAACAGGGTGTTTATTACCCCCACAACCCCCAGCAGCAGCCGTCACCTCTGACTGAGGGGGATGCAGGGCCCAGAAAGGGGGTGTCAGAGCACCAGAGGTGCAGAAGCCCCTCCACCACGCGCCCCAGAGCTGCTGCCCCCAAATGCGTGCATGAGACAGGGATGATGCTCTCGGCTCTCAGCATCCACCACGTTTCCCGCCGTCCTTTCTGGCTTGACCCGGGCAGGGCCCAGGCTTGGGGCAGGGACGGTCTGCACGGGCCTGGCACACCTGCCTGTGCTTGTGTGCAGGGGACATGGTGGGGGCACTTAGGGTATGTGGAAGGCCTTTGTGGTGGGGGAGGGCAGCCTGGGGTGTGGAGATGCTGCAGGCCATGTTCTAGAACTCTCCGGCCCAGGTCTTCTGTGCCCCGGCTGGAGCTCTGCTAGCTGCGCTGATCTGCAAGAGGCAACAGGTGACAGCTGGAACCATACCCTAAAGCTGCTCATGGTCCCTGCACCCATTTTACTGTGGCAAAAACTGAGGCCTGTAACAAGGACGCCAGCAGCAGCCAGCCTTGAGATCAATCAGTTGCTGCTCTTGGGGTGCCCACACGCCTCACTCTGCACTCCCCCATCCCAGGGCCGCCCAGCTCCTCCTGGGTCTTCTTCCTACACACGAGGCTCAGGAAGGTCTGTCTGCTGTGTGCACTGCCACACCTGCCCCCCCAGGATGTGCAGGGTGAGGGGACAGGCCAGAGGGGAGAGGCCCTGTCAGCCTGCACCTTGGGCCCCGGGTTTGCCTGCCTAAAACTCTGGGCCCTGGAGTCTCAGGTTCTGTGTCCCGCTGTCCCCAGGCCTCTCACCTGTGCCTGTGTCTTTGGGGAGCTGCCCCGTCTCCAGGAAGAGCCAGAGGTTGCTGCATTTCTGTGACTCCACTCGGGTCAGCCAGTAGCTGGCCACTGAGCCTGCAACTGGGGAGCAGGGGGCAGGGGCCGGTGGGCTGGGGGGCCTGGGCCTCTGCACTTCTCAGGGAAAGGAAACCTGGGCACAGGCTTCTTCTGGGCAGATGGTGGTGGTGGGTTCAGGCAGGGCTCCCACTGGGAACTGAGGCCCCATCTCAGGAGGCAGGGATGCCGGGAGCCACAGCCACCCCCCGCCCCGCGCGAAGGCACCCACCCCGGCTGAAGAGGCAGGGTCACCTCCGGCAGCTCGGGTGCATTTCAGGGGCCCCAGGCACAGAGTACCCACCCACGGCCACCAGCACGTTCCACTGAAAGGGGTACGGAAACTTCCTCTGAATGAACATCTGCAGGCCGAAGGTCACACCACTGCCTGTCAAGAGCCGCAGTCCCCATCAGCCAGCCTGTCCACAGGGCTGGCCTGGGGACCACCTGGGCGCAGCCTGAGTGCCGCCCACCTGCCGGGCTCCCAGCACCTGCAGACAGGCAACCTGGCGCCACCTGCTGGGGAGTCAGGGTGAGACAGGAGGGTGAGGTCTCCACACCCCAGGACACCTGGACCCAGCCTACCTGTGACAAAGGTGAAAACGCCCTTCATGAAAGCGTTCGACTGGCACGCAGCATACTCCCCGAGGCCCTGGGACGGGGGCGGGGGGTGAAGGCTCAGTTCCCCTCCCTCTTCCGTCACCGTCCCTCCCTGCTTCCTTTGGGCACACTCTGACGGTGGGGCAGGGGACCACTCGTCGTGAGGCCCCGGGGGCTGGGACACATCCCATCTGCCCCCACGCCCACCAGGGACGCCCCGATCCTCACAGCAAGAGGGTACTCCCTCTCTGCCCCTCTTCCCTGACAAGGGCACCCCCGCCGAGCCCCCCGCCCCGCTCAGGTCAGGTCCTGGGTCCGGGGCCGCGTCTCAGGCCGGCCTGCTCACCGGGTGCTTGGCGGCCACGGCGTCGTCCACCCGGGACAGTCCCAAGTTCACCATGGCCGGCGGGTCGCGGAGAGCCGGCCTGCGCAGGACAGGCCGGAGGGCGGGAGGGAGCGCGCGGAGGGCGGGAGGGAGCGCGCGGAGGGCGGGAGGGAGCGCGCGGAGGGCGGGAGGGAGCGCGCGGAGGGCGGGAGGGAGCGCGCGGAGGGCGGAGCGCGCGGAGGGCGGAGCGCGCGGAGGGCGGAGCGCGCGGAGGGCGGAGCGCGCGGAGGGCGGAGCAGGGGCGCGCGCACTCCTCCCCGTGCCGCCCTGGGTCGCCTTCCTCGTTAACATGCTGGCAGATGCGTGATAATTATTGTTATCGTTGTATGTTGGGGTGAGGCTTTGTTTAAGGGATTAAATCTCTTGGAAACGACCACGGAGTGCTGATGTATTGGATGATTATCTATCAAATTAATTCCAAAAATGCTATAAGCCCATACTTCGAGCCTTTTCTGTGCTAGGCGCTGGGGGTCCCACGGAGGAGTCAGAGCCTCTACCCTCATAGAGCAGACAGCTGGACAGACCCGGGAAAACAAAATGGGGAGGAGAGTAGAGGGGCCAGGGCATGTGTGGGGTGCACCCCCGAGGAGCTGCTCAGAGGGAGAGACTGCCGCAGAGGTCCTGGAAGAGGACCCTCAAATGTGAACTGCTGGGTGGGACTGAGAGTGGCATTTCAGCTGGCTAAGGAAGGAAGGGAAGACAAGGGGAGTGATGCCAAGGTCAAGGGTCAGTGGACGGGAGCCCCCAGTGGGTTGAAACATTGCTGGAGTGGGGACAGTAAGAAGTGACTTGGAGGGACAAGTGGTGAAGTAGCCAGGGAAGAAGCCTGGACACCGAGGCTTCAGAGGTGGACACAGTGGCATGACAGTGACCACGGGAGTGGGAGGCTAGGTGGGACGTCGGAACCAACCTTGGGGCTAAGGGGCTGGGTGGGTGGCCCACCTGGATGTCGGGGTTGCCCAGGCAGCAATGAGGGAGGGAGGCCGTGAGCCAGGTCCTAAGCGTCTTCGAGGAGTGAGACGGGAGAGGCCCAGAGCAGGGGGGTGGCTGAGGGAAGGCTGGTGCTGTACTTTCCACGAGTTCAGGATTTGGGAGGACGGGGAAGGAGAGGCCACCACGGAGAATCAGGCCGCCAAGGCCCTGGACTGGGGCCACTGAACAATTAGGGTTATTATGAGCCCTGAACTTTGGTAGATGACTCCTGCTTTAAACTCCTGGTTGTTAAAATGCTTTCTTAAAAAAAAATTCATTATTGCTTGTCAATGAAAATAATGAACATTCTGTACAAAAATTAAAGCAGTGCAGATGCTCCCGAAGTAAAACATATACTACGCCCCCCCCCCCGCCCCAATGTGGGCGCTGGCGGGATGTTCGCGGGGCAAGGGGGAGACGGCGGGATGTCAGGAAGACTCGGGGAGATGGGGGAAATGTAGGGTGATAGAGGGAGACTCAGGGTGATGAGGAGATGGGGGAGATGAGGAAGGGGCCCAGGGGCCGGCCTACAGGGCGAGGAATGGGGAGTCCCTTCCTTTCACTGTGTGGCCTACTGGGTGCCAAGCCTGGATTCAAGGGCACACAGCACCCCCCTTCCACAGGGCCCAGGGGGCCTTGGTCCTCCTTCCCCAGATAGGTGTCACCCCATCCTCAGGTCATGGTCTGAGAGGGCCCAGTCAGCAGATGGCAGGTGTCACAGGGAGCCCAAGGTGCTGCCGACCTCCACCTCCCGAGCCTCGGCCCTCACCCGCTGTACTCCCCGCTGTGGCCCTGCACCTCCCCATCGGCCTTGGTGCTGTGCTCAGCAGAGGATCAGGCAGATGGAGAGAGCTCTGAACTCTGGGGCCTGGCTGGCTGGATGGCCTGAGCACTGCCCCTGGGGCTCTCGGTAGTTCCATTTTCAGCCAGCTCCTTGCTTCTTGCTCCTGGCCTTGGTTGAACTGGCCACCATTATCAAAAGCTGGAGGCCTCCCTTGGAGAGGCGGCATTGATTTCCTGCTCCAGAAAGGGCCCTCCGGCTTGGCTGGTGCTCTGAGGAGGCTCTGCTGGTGGTCATGTGGTGGACTCCACCCAGGGTGCACTCCTTCTCACCCTCAGCTCCCTCTGGGCGGGAGGGAAGCTTCTTGGTCAGCTTTGGCTCTTGAGAGTGAGCAGGGGGTGGTCCCAGCCAAGCCCCAGACCCCTCTGGGCCTCAGGTTCCCCTTGTGTCTCCCCAGCGGCCCCTGAGCTCCTTTAGGCCGAGTCCCAGATGGCTGCGGGGGCCATCTGCCCTTCCACCCCATCAGCAGGGCCACCATCCAGCCTGCTGTCCTCTCCAAGGTTCCTGAGGTCACCCTCCCTCCACCTGCCCTCCTAGCCTCCTGGCACCCTGAGCCTGTACCCAGAGCTGGCCACACCACCCTGCAGCCCCAGAAGAGGCTGTGGGGGGTCTGTAGCCCCGGAAGAGGCTGTGGGGGCGGGGGACACCAAGCCTTTGAGACCCTCACTGTACCCTTCTGTCCAGGGTGTGCTTGGGGCTGTGGGGGTGGGTGGGGGTGAGCTGGGCTGCAGTTCCGTCTCCCACAGGGGCCCCCCAGCCCCTCCATCTGCAGCTGTGTGGGTCTCTCACAGGATGCCCTAGGATGCTGTGGCTGCTTCCTCCTCCATGGTGCTCTGGGAAGTGATGCTGGAGGTCAAGGTGGTCTTGGTGGCCCTCTGGGTCTGGACCTGCAGGCCGCAGGGATACCTGGGCCCTCCCTCCACCTGCCAAGCGCCTCCCTGGCCTCGGCCACCAGCAGGCCCTCTGAGGGAATTCTTGGGGCTGCATACTTTCTTCTCCAACCTTTATTAGCGCAGGTATGCCGTGTCCTTGCACCCATGTGCCCGATGGTGCAGGCGGAGGGGTTGTGGGCAGTGTCTGGGGAGGCGGGGGAGCCCGGCGCAGAGAGCTTTGGCCTGGGGACTGTCCATCAGTGTCCCCACGTGGCCTGGATGTGGTTGTGGGGTGGGGGTGGGAGGTGGTTGCCCTAAGCAGGTCTTCATCTCTGAGACCTCGTAGGAGTAACACTGGCCTGGCTGGACTGCTGGTTAATGCTCTCTGCGTAACTCCTGTGGGCGCCGGGCAGGTATTGGCCATTGAGGTTGGACTGATGGCAGTCATAGTACCACCAAGCCCCCTTGAACAGGGATGCGCAATTGTATTGGCTGTTGCTGTCATTGTCCTGGTCATGGGTTGTGAACAGCATGTTCCTGTGATTCCCCAAGGAGTCTCCTGGGAAAGACTGGCCTCCTCGGCTCCCCAGGCCCAGCAAAGCCCCAGCCCGGGCTAGGCAGGGCACAGCTTGCGGGATCCCTTCCACGCCCCTCCGACAAGGACCTCAAGCTTTCCTGTGGAACTACCTGCAGTCCCCCTGAGAAATGGCCCCAGGACCAGGTTGTATTTCTCCTCTTCTGACACCCAGAAGGAGCTGCATTTGGCGAAAGAGGCTCCACCTTCGAAATCCTTCAGGTCCACCCAGAGCTCCTGGTTCCCTGGCTGCACGCAGGGAAGAAGGCGGAGGGAAGGGTGAGGCCCAGGGCTCCACCCTCCTCACCTCCAGCTGTGAGCCAGTGCAGGTGGTCACTGCCCAGCCATTACTCTGTGCCCGGGGGCCGAAGCCTCCTTTGTAGGACTCCCAGTCCCGGAAGAAATTCACGGAGCCATCCACATGTCACTGAAACACCTGTGGGGCGAGAGTCTGGGATCTTGAGGAGCAGGGACTGTCGGGGGCGTGGGCCCAGGTCCTGCATACTTGCCCCCCACGCCCCGCCCCTCCCCGTGCGGAAGAACTGGTACTGGAGGGGGTGCAACGCTGAGAACGGCTGGCGCAGGCGAGTGCCAGGCAGGCAGCGTGATGCTCAGGGAGGAGGGCTCTGCCAGGTGCGCCAGGAGGCTGTGGGGCCCACCCACGCCGCCCCCACGCTCTGGGGTGGATTCCGGGCCACGCATGCTCAGGCTCTCCTGCTCAGAGGTGCTGCCTTTTCTCTGGCCGTTCTGCTGTCTGCAGTCTGGCTGCAGCGAGCCAGCCTCGAGTGTCCCATGCAGGCTCCCCTCTCACGGTCCAGCATCCCTGTCCACGTCCATGTCGCAGAGCACAGTCAGCAGCTGGCAGTTGGGGAGGTAGATGGTGTACCAGCTGGTCAGGGAGCCCCCCTGGGCCAGCACGTCCTCGCAGCTCTGGGTCCCTGTGAGGCAAGGAAGGGAGTGGGGGTGCGCTCGAGGGACAAGGTCCCAGCTCGGGGAGGGTCGGGCTTGCCTGGTGGTTGGGTGGGCAAAAGTGGAAGGCCAGGGCAGGCCCTCTGGGCATGTGGGGGGTGGGCAGGGGCTGGGGTCATTCACCTTGCTGGCACAGCACGTCCGACAGCTCCTTCTCCCCTGGGCAGGAGACACGGGTGCCTTTCTCTTTGTCCCCTCCCCTCCACAGACGCTTGCCCCCTGGGGCACCCCCAGGATCTACACCCCAAATCCCACCCCTACCCCTGCACGGAGTGGCTGCCAGGCCCCCATCAGCACCGTCCTCCCCCTGCCCCTGCCTGCTCTAGGCTCCCCTGGGGGCCTCTGGCCACCCTCTGGCTCTCTGTGACCCTCCCCAGAGTCAGGACCAGGTCACGGTGCTGGCCCCCAGGACTCCTCAGATAAGTTTGGCCCCGAGGCTGGGCTGGTGGGTGGGTGGATGTGAGCCCTCCCTGCAGGGTCTCCTTGGGACCTGGGGCCCTTCTGTTTTCCTCCTGTTGTGAGCCCACCCACAGGGGTCCCGGGACCTTGGACGGCAAGGTGAGGAATGCTGGAACTTTCTAGGAGACTCGAGTCTGGGAATGTTCTCAGCAAGCGAGGCCGCAGCCCCCTTGGCGCCTTTCTCCCCTGGAGAGAGACAGGGTGCCAGCTTGGTCCCTGGAGCTGGCTCCCCCCACCAGAGCCTTCTGTCTTGCCTCTGCCCCCACCCCTGCACCCGGCCTCCTGTCTGGGCTGTGAGCCCCCCAGCACTCTGACGTGCAGAGTGAGGCCTGGGCATGGGTCAGGGGGCAGGCTGCAGGCCCCTCCAGGGTTGTGCCTCTGGATGCCTTAGAAAGCTCTGGGGTGGTGCTGCCACACAGGCTAGAAGGGGTCGTCCCTTCTCTGTCCTCAAGGCCCCCGCTGGAGTCCATGAGACCTCAACCCAAGATCTCTCCACCTGGATGCCCCCTTCTGTCCCCTCCTGGGAGTAGCCTTGGCCACCAGGCTCACCTCTGACTCCGGGGGTCCTGGGAGCTCCTGGCTCTCCGGTGGGTGGAAGGGGCATGTCTCACAGTGCAGGCCCTGCTGGGGGGCTGGGTGCCGGCAGCAGGAGCGCCACCCCCTCCGCCCCTGCAGGCTGTTTGGGCATGCCTGTGGTGCCCCCAAGTGTGTACCCACGTGTGGGTGTGGACCCGTGAGCACCTTGCCTACTGGGAAGTGGGTGGGGGGATGGAGCTGCCCAGAGCCTGGGTGGAGGAGGGTGTGGAGGACAGGTGCAGCCTCCCTGCTCTCCTGCATCCTGCCAGACCCTGGGCAGAGAGGCCCCTGGGCTGTCCTGTTACCTTTGCTCCCGGGCTGGCCCCATCTTCCCTGGGCTGCCTGGGAGGCCCCACTCTCCTGCAAACACAAGGACTCGATTGGACCCCATCCCCTGGGCAAGAGAGGAGGCAGAAACTCCCCACTGCCCACTCCACGGAGCCAGGCACCCACCTCTCCCACCAGGGGCGCCCGATTCCCCTTTGGGCCCCGGCAGGCCAGGAGAGCCAGGGCAAACTTGGAGGATGGTCGTTTTGTCCGGGGCCCCCAGACCCACGATCTTTACTTCTGCACACAGCAGGGGAGGGTGGGCTGCAGGCCAGTGCATCCTGTGCCAGCCCACACCCCATTTTCCCACCCTCCCCACCACCTGCCTCGCATGCCTCCACACTGCAGGGTGTGCTTATGCCTGTGTGTACGTGCGGTGTGTGTGTGTGTGCATGTGTGTGAGCTGACATATCCCAGCAGGCCCCTCTCACCTGGACAGGTGCCTCCCACCTGGCCCAGGGCCCGGGATGGGGAGAGACAGAATAGAGGCACCAGGGTCCAGAGGGCAGGCCACCCCATTCCTCTGCACACACCACTCCCTGGTTCCAGACCTGGGTTCCCAAGGCGCCCTGCTGGCTGGTGAGGAGCAGGGGTGGCGGTGGCCCCTCCCCTACCCGGCTGCGCCCTGCTCCAGCCTGGTTGGGCCTCCCATTCCTCACAGCTCAGCTTTTCTCCACAGAAATGGAACCCAGGTCAAGTGCAAACACAGCACTTCCTCTGCCTCGGCCATCTGCAGTCTGTGCCCCAGTGTCCTCTCCAACAGACGGGCACAGCACCCCCATCTCCACCCCCACCCACCCACGGCCCTTCCCAGAATCACAGGCAGCTGGATACAGGCTGTGCTCAGTGGATGCTGGCTCAGATGTGAGGACGTGAGGGCACCCTCCCCAACCCCGCCCTCTTTCCCTCCTGCTCCCCTTCCCCCCTTCTCTCCCTCCCCCATTCTCCTCCTCCCCCCTCCCTTCTCCCTCACCCCTCCCCCTTCCTTACTCTTCCTCCTTCCCCTCCCCCTTTCTCACTCTTCCCTTCCCCCCTCTTTGGCTTCCTCTGCCTCCTTCCTCTCCTCCCCCTCCCCTTCTCTTCCTCCTCTCCTCATTCTCATTCTTAGTGAGGCTGCCCTGACAAACCTGGAGGCCCAGCACACGGCAGGATGCCCAAAGCCAGAGGCCCACTCGAGGCTGGAAGTGTAGCCCTTGGTCCTGAGCCCCAGCAAGTGCTGGCAGTGCTGAGAGCTCTTAGCAGCCTGCCATCCAGTGCATGACATCCCGCCCTAGGTTTAGCGAGAGGAGCTGGGCACAGAGGGCCTTGCTGCTGGGCAATGGGGGAGCTGGGACTCGAGCCAGTCCTGCAGGGCCCGCGTCCTTCCGGGCCCATGTCCTGCCCACTGCACACGTTACCGCCAGTGAGCAGGGTGCTGATGAGGACCAAGGGACAGGAGTCAGCGAAGCTGCTTGGTTGTGGATCCCAGGTGGGGGTGGCGACAGAGCCGCACACGGAGTCCCCTGAAGAGGTGCCCCCAGGGTGCAGCAGAGCTGCCCACCCTGCAGCCAGCAGAGCCCTCTGCCCCTAGGCTCTCCCTGCTGGGGGTCCGCCTGGTTCTGGCTGGCCTCTGGCAGCTGCTGCTTCCAGAGCTCCTGATGGAGGCCCTGTGCTGGCAGGGTCTGCAGTTGTCCGGTGGCCATGCCCCAAGGGGGCGGAGGCTGTGGACCCAGCAGCCCGAGATGGGGCAGGGAGAGGGTTAGAGCACCCCAGCTCCTTTCCTGGACACCCAGACATGTGAGGGTTTCTGGGCCCCATCTCTGCCTTGCCCTGGGGTCTCCCCAACCTGCAGGCAGTGTGGGTGGGGTGGGCTCTGTGCGCCCCCCTGTGGCGATAGGTGGGAATTGGAATTTGGCCTCGCCCTTGGTGTGCGGGGTAGGGGGCGGCGCAGCTGTGAGGGAGAACCAGCAAGGAGGGCCCCTGCTGCCTGGCCCCCTTCAGCCAGGTGAGTCAGCTCCACGGGGCTGCCTGTGCTCACGACTGTCTCCTCTGGCACCAAGGGGGGAGAGGGCTCTCTGTGAGGGACCCCATGGATGCTGACCCTGGGGAGCTCCTGTGGGCTCTCTGTCCTGCCCAGAAAAGCAGTCTGCAGCTGAAGCGTGCCTCTCTCCAGAGCTGGGACCAGGGCCAGGGCCAGAGTCCGGGCGGCTGGGTGTGGCAGTGTCACCTGAGCCGGCTCCTTCTCTTTGTATCCTCCTGGGACCCACGCCTCCTGTCTCCCGCCCACGTCCCTGGATATTCCTCAGCATTCATGCTGGATTCTGCCCTGTTCACTCTGGGAGTCGATCCTGACCCCAGATGACAACACCCAGAGCTAAAGGGGTGGAATCGAGCCCGAGTGCTCAGGAACATCTGAGATGGAGAAACCAGCAGCAGCATTTGTTTTGTCTTGGGCTTCACTGAATTTTGGGATCAGTTCAACTGCAGGAAGAGGCTGGCCGTTAATGTTAGCTGTTGGCCGGGAGCTCAGCTGGGCGGCAAACCGGGGCGTCCACGTGGCGGCCTCCCTATGCGGCTGCTTGGGCTTCCTTGTGGCCTCCTTCGAGTTTCTCTTCTTGTTTGGCGGTTGACTTCCAAGACACAGGAGGTGGTGGTGTCCAGGCCAGCTTGGGGCTGCTCCCAGACCTGGCCCAGCAACCCTCCTGCTGTATTCTGTTGGCCACAGTGGTGACAAGGTCTGCTGAGGTTAAAGGGGGTGCTTCTCGATGGGATGTGGCAAGTCATGCTGACCTGAAGAGGAGGAGAGGTCAGGACTGTCCCCAACTGACCTGAGACAGCAAATAGGTCAGTCCTTGGTCGGATCCTACAGCCGTGGGGCAGGGAGATAAGGAGAGGAGGTGGCAGGGGCAGCCCGTGACGGGCACGTGGGGGAGGCCCATCAACCCTGTGACTATGAGTGCAAGTGGCCAGGACTTGGCCAATAACTGAGAAGCTCCCTAATTTCTGTCCCTGCCTCCACCTTGGGACCAACTGGAGAAAGCCAGATATGCCCCCTAACCAGCCGCCTGGAGGCCTGCTTGTTCTCATTGGGCGGTCTGCATTTATTTCCACTGTTGCAATTTCTTTTACATTTTTTGTTATTAAAAAGATATTCTAAATATTCTTATAGAATATTGATTAAGCTTTATCTATTTTACTTTTTCTGATTTTCTTAGACTTGGTACATTTCAAACTAAATTTTTTCTACCAGCATTGTTACAATTTCATTTTTATGTGGAAATCTTTGATCCGTCTGGAATTTATTTTGACATAAGGAGTGAGGTAGTGGTCTAGCTGCCGATGTGTTTTCTAAATGGTCCCTAGTGGTGACTGTTTTATTTATTGTGTATTTAGTCTTTTCTCCACAGATTTGAAACATCTCCTTCATCATAGGCTGAATGCCCATGTCATTTGTGTCTATTCTCATTTTTCTAGATTCTTCCATTGTTATATGTATAAAACATACCATATTCTTACTGGCCATAATTTTACCACAGGTTTTCGGGTCTCATAGAACTAGTTGTCTGTTTCTACTTTTCCTTTGTGGAATTTTTTAGGTTTTTCATATGAAATCAGAACAATTTTTTTCTTGTTAAAATTTTAAAATTGGAATTCCATAAAACTTACAGATAATTCAGGGACAGTTGAAGTCTTTAGGATAATGTGTTTTTTTTAGGATTATCACTGAAAGAAAAAATTGATGAGCTGCTTTTCCAACATCAGCCCAGCCTGACCCATTTCCTGGAGGGACATGGAGGGCACACTCATATTAGGAGAAAGTGGGGTGTTTGTTTACAAAGAGACTATTTATGGGTGGGGTATAGGGGAACCCCGACAGCCAGGGCGGGGACCCAGGGCCCAGAGCAGCAGGGCTGACCGCCCCCAGGTCAAAGGGTGGAGGGCAGGGCATGTTCCAGAATACAGAGGAGAACTGTGTAGATGAGGCCCTCCAAGAGACCAGCGACCTTAGGGTGGGGGTCCCCATGGCTGAGCCCAACTGGGCAGGGGCAAGGAGCTCCTTGACTTGTCCACATAATTTGGGCTTCCTCTGTGGTCAGCAGGTGGAGGGAGGGAAGACCCGGAGGTTCTTTCTCCTTTTCTGAGGACAGAGGTCTTGCATTAAGAAATACCCTCAGGGGCAAGGAGTGTGCCAGGAACCTGACCTCTGCCTCTGAACTGGGCCACATTCCATGGGGCCAGGGCTGGGCCTGGAGAGACAGACGGGCGGCCCTGGCCGAGTGAAGCCGTGGGGAGTGCACGGGAGGAGGACAGGGCTCTGGGCTTAGGAGAACCGAGTGGGCGGGAAATGGGCAGCTCCTGGGGGCTGGCGAGCAGGAGTGAGCAAGAGCTCACTCAGAGGGGAAGCGTTGGGTCCGAGGCTGCGCTGGGGGCACTGAGCTCCAGCCAGCCCCTGATCCCCACCCTCTTCCCCGCAGGGCTCGGATCCCAGGGAGGCCCTCCTGCGGGCTGGGACCAGGAAGGTTCTGCCTGGTGGGATGGCAGCCCACCACCTGCGCCCCCAGCCTTCCTGGCGTGCTGCCATGCTGCTGGGCGGGGAGGAGGCACAGGCCGCCGGGCAAATCCCAGCTCACCCCCAGCGCCCATGCCAGGCTGGCGGTGGCCTGTGCCCTGAGTGTGGCATGCGGGCGAGCCTGCTGCTGCCCCGAGGCCCCTCCTGGCCTGGCACCGTCCCCATCAATTGGGCCTCTCTGGTGAAGGGCACTTGGAGAAGCTTTGGTTCCCACCTCCTGGGCAGTTGTCCTTCAGCCAGTCTGGGTAGGGAGCTCACCCCTCCACAAAGCTTGCGGGTCCTGGCTCGTGGGAGCCTGTGTCCCCTCCCCACCTCTCACCAGGAGCAGCCGGCAATGCCCAGGGTGTCCCTGCCTCCCTCTCTGCCTCCTTCTGAGAGGGGAGGAGGGGGCCTCTCTGTGGCCATGGCTTTCCTCGACCCTTAGCAGGGCCTCTCTTCCTCCCCCCATGAGTGGGGAGCACTCCGTGGGGAATCTATGTCGGGTTCTGCCTCTGCCCCAGGAGGTGTCCCCTGAGTGTGTTGACCCTAAAAATAACACAGCCAGTTATTTTCCCAGCCAGATGGGTTTATTTGGGAAGGGCAGAGGAACCACAACTCGAGGGACAAGCAAGCTGCAGCTAAACCACAGGCAAGTGCAGCAAACGCAGGAGAGGAGCGTTACTTTGTAGAGAAAAATGAGAAAGCTGGGAGGGGTTGTTTGAAGGAAAGTCTGTTGCCTCTTGGAGGAGAGCGAGGACGCGGGGTGGTGACGGCTTCTCACTGGCTGGGCTGCTGGGGGTGTGGATTCTCGCAGGAGAAGCCCTCCAGCTTTCCTGTTGGGGCCTGTGATTGATGATTCTTTCCTGGGGTGAAACTAGGAAATTCTAGTTTTCTGATCCTTCTGTTGGGGTCTGTAACTGACATAGAGTGGGACTGCCGAGAGCTCCCCTTCTGGTCTCTGCACTCCACTTTAGCGAGCTTCCCCTTTATTAATTTTCACAGTTGTTTGCCGGGCAAGAAAAATAACTGTGGTCCCAGTTTTGGAGCAGCCACCTCCCCTGCATCGTTCACATCAGGCTGGTTGATACCATGGGCTTGGCTGCCCTCAGGCACGGCTGGGGCGTTAAGGCTCAGCTCACCTGGGCAGCCCTGGGCAAAGAGCTGCTTAGGAGGGCCAGGCCTGCCCCTGTTGCACGCCCACCCAACCCTGCAGCACTGGGGTCTCAGTGCAGGGACAGTGCCCGAGGCACTCAGGGCGAAGGCCCGCTCCTTCCCTCACCCGCTCTCCCCAAGGGAACTGAGAGGGAAACAAAGTCAGCTGCCATCCAGCAGTGACGCCTGCCCAGCGCCCACCAATCGGTGGGGGCTCTACCTCACAAGGCTGAGTAAGAACACCGTCCCCTCAGCCTGGGGGCCATGACGTCCCTGGAGGTGAGCACTCGGGGGCAGGTCTGGGCACACCTGGACTGTGACAACCTGAGCAGCACAAGGTGTGGCCCATCTTCTTTTTTTTTTTGTATTTATTCTTTTACTTTATTGAGGTCATGCTGGTTTATAACACTGTGCAATTTCAGGTGTACATTATTACAGATCAGTTTCTGTGTAGACTGCATCGTGCTCACCAGCAATAGTCTAGTTTTTATCCGTCACCATACTTATGCCTTATCCCTTTTGCCCACCTCCTTCCCCCTTTCCCCTCTGGTGACCACTAAACTGTTCTCTTTGTCCATGTGTCTATCTTCCATGTGAGTGAAATCATACGGTGTTTGTCTTTCTCTGTGTGGCTTATTTCGCTTAACATAATACCCTCAAGGACCATCCATGTTGTTGCAAATGGGATGATTTTGTCTTTTTACGGCTGCGTAGTATTCCATTGTATGTATACACCACATCTTCTTTATTCATTCATCAGTCCATGGACACTTGGGTTGCTTCCACATCTTGGCTATTGTGAATAATGCTGCAGTGAACATAGGGGTGTGTAAGTCTCTTTGAATGGTTGATGAATAAATACCCAGTAGTGGGATAGCTGGATCATATAGTATTTCTATTTTTAATTTTCTGAGAAATCTCCATACTGTTTTCCATAGTGGCTGCACCAGTTGCATTCCCACCTGCTGTGTACGAGGGTTCCCTTTTCTCCACATCCTCCCCAACACTTATTACTTGTCTTTTATTTATAGCCATTCTAATGGGTATAAGGTGATATCTTATTGTAGTTTTGACTTGCATTTCCCTAATAGTTAGTGATGTTGAACATCTTTTCATGTGCCTGTTGGCCATCTGTGTATCTTCTGTTCATATCCTCTGCCCATTTTTTGATCGGGTTGTTTGTCTTTTGTTGTTGAGTTGTATGAGTTCTTTATATATTTTGGAAATTAACCCCTTGTCAGATATATGATTTGCAAATATCTTCTTCCAGTTGGTGGGTTGTCTTTTCATTTTGTTCCTGGTTTCCTTTGCCTTGCAGAAGGTTTTTAGTCTGGTGTAGTCCCATTTGTTTATTTTTTCTTTTGTTTCCCTTGCCTGAGTAGACATGGTATTCGAAAAGATGCTGCTAAGACCAATGTCAAAGAGCATACTGCCTATATTTTCTTCTAGGAGTTTTATGGTTTCAGGTCTTTCACTCAAGTCTTTAATCCATTTTGAGTTAATTTTTGTGTATGGCATTTTGGGGAGGTTTTTGATTACTGTTTCAATCTCTTTACTTGTGATTGGTCTATTCAGATTCTCTATTTTTTTCTTGATTCAGTTTTGGGAGGTTGTACGAATCTAAGAATTTGTCCATTTATTCTAGGTTGTCAAATTTGTTGGCATATAGCTTTTCATAGTGTTCTCTTATAATCCTTTGTATTTCTGTGGTATCCATTGTCATTTCTCCTCTCTCATTTTAAATTTTATTTATTTGAGCCTTCTCTCTTTTTTTCTTCGTGAGTCTGGCTAAGGGTTTGTCAGTTTTGTTTATCTTCTCAAAGAACCAACTCTTAGTTTTGTTGGCCCTTTGTACTGTTTTTTTAGTCTCTATTTCATTTATTGTCTAATTTTTTTTTAAAGATTGGCATCTGAGCTAACATCTGTTGCCAATCTTATATTTTTTCTTTCTCTTCTCCCCAAAGCCCCCCGTACACAGTTGTATATTATAGTTGTGAGTCCCTCTGGTTGTGCTGTGTGGGATACCACCTCAGCATGGCCTGATGAGCGGTGCCATGTCTGTGCCCAGGATCCGAACCTGAGAACCCGAGCTGCTGAAGTGGGGCACGCTGAAATTAACCACTATGCTATGGGGCTAGCCTCT